GATGGCTTGGTCATATACAATGAAGACCAATAGAGATAATAGTGAAGAGATGCGACGCAGTGACGGTAGACGGAAGTATTAGGGGACGAGATAGATCTAGATTGGCATGGTCTATGGTAGTAAATAGAGATATGAATCTCCTTAATTTGACTAACGAAATGGCCTTTGATAGAGTCAAGTGAAGAAGAATGATTCATGTAACTGACCTCATTTGATGGGACTTAAGGCTTGGCTTGGCTTGGCTTGGCTTGGTTTGAAATTTGTGTTTTAAGCTTTTAGTTGGTTTATAAGTCCTTTCAAAATATGAGAACTTGTTTATGTTATGCTATAATTATCTAGTATTTGGCAATATTTTTAATAAATATACTCCAGTACCAATATGTACCGTACCAGTGAAAAAAACAGTACCTTGTCCGATACAGGATTGACAACTTTGGTCTCCATATCTTTTCCTTTTTCTTTTTCCTTTCTTTTTTTTTTTTTTTGGTTTTTTTCTTTTGTAATATGCATTTTCATTTGGAATTTCACTTTTTTTTTTTTCACTTTTTTTTTTTTCTTTTTTTTCATAAGTTCAAATTTAAACATGGGACGAATCTGTTTTAAGGACACAGTGTTAAACACTGGACTTGATCAGAAAAGTTATTCAAATAAATTAACCAAGTAAGTTGTTTAATTTTATTCTGTTTTTTATTATGTTTATTTAATCAGATTTTATTTTTGTTTTTGTAACAAAATAAAATCTGTGGTTTTATTTATTTATTTATTATTTCGAGTTTGATTTTTGTAATCAAACAAATTCTCTCATTTTCTCTATTTCTTTTATTCTTGTTGTTTTGTACACAACATAATTTAATCTTTTTAAATACAGTGAAGATTGTCCAACAATTTTATACTTTGAAAGGAAAGTATAAACATTCCCCTCTTCTTTTTGTTTCTATCGCAGGGCTGCGTACAATTGGTTTCAACATGATTGCATCTCTTATAATGGCTATTGGTATTAATGGAGCTTTGAGTTACCCTACTCTTCCCGTAAGTTCATACTCTTTTTCTAGGAAATAATAATTTATGTGTTTTGAAACCGTACTTATGTAAATATTTTCAAATGTGATCATGTGCCCCATCAAAAAATTAGCTAACTATTTTGGAAAAGAAAGAAGAAAAAACAAAGAAAAAATTGGAGTTTAAAGCTAAATAATCTACATTTGACCTTGATTTTCTTTATAGTCGTTACATTGAGTTACAAGCCATCTAACACATGGCCCGTTTCTAGGTTATATATTAAATAGAAAAAACAATCTGCTCTATCCTGTTCACCGGTAGCTAATACGGACAAGGATTTTGATTTAAAGCTAAGGATTGAGAGCAATTCTTCCAATGGAGGGAACATATATACCCAGATCTAAGAGCTTTGAATTGGGCAGTATCTATGGCATTGGTTCTTATTCCAAGGTCTCATTTTTCTTCAACATATTTAATTTTTTTACTGTATTTATTTATTTATTTATTTATTTATTTATTTATTATTATTATTATTATTATTATTATTATTATTATTATTATTATTATTGTGAATTAATTTGATTTATGTTGATTTATTTTGATGCTTTGATGATTTATGTTCATTAGAGGTTAATTTGAATGTCATGTTTCATCTATCTTTTTAGGGTTAGTTTAGATTGTTTATGGGTCATTTAAATTGGGTTTGATACAGTTATTATTAGAATTCCATTTTCTTAAACCCACAATTTTTTGAATCAATCTAATACATTTTATTTGAATTCCATTCTCTACAATTAATTCCATTCTCATCTCATTCTCTCTTTCACGGGTCTCTTACGGGTCATTTGTTTATTAAACCCATCCAAGCACCAAGAACTTTGTTCTCCACCCGACATATAACCGGATCTATATTTGAACTGGTAGTTTATTTGGGTTTGGGTTTGTGATTTTCGTTAGACATATAACTGGAGAATCAAGGCAAGTATATAGTGGGGTTTTAATTGTTGTGTGACTTGCATCTATTTCAAAGCATTTAATATTAGCCATACTTGATCTAATAAACGGAATGGAACCACAAGAAGGTATTGGGTCATATATGTAAATGACATTGCAATTCGAACCAATCTTTTTACAACAGACCTATGTTATAAAAAAGTCTTCAGGAACACGTAGATTAATTATTTTCTAGATGAACATTATTAGCTAAAAATACAAAAAATCAATTTTTAACCAACTTTTCAAAACAACTCATAATTATTAGGATTGGTTAGAATAAGTGTACATTAAGTTTAAAGTATTTTCGGGTGCAAAGCCAGTACCAGTGTTTGATTTTGGATTTTTGAATGGATTAATTATTTTTTTGCTGCTCAATCACTCTGTAGCAGAGCGCGTCCCAAACACGCTAATTTAGCTTCGTATCCAAGTAATCGTCTATTTACTTATAGGCTTTTCTTTTTCTTTTTTTTCTTCTTCTTCTTCTTCTTCTTCTTCTTCTTCTATTTTTATTTTTTATTTTTATTTTTTTTCTTATATTAATTATAAGTATATGTTAAAGTTTGGTAGGCTTATATGCCACCAAACTGGGTTCCATTTTTTTTTTAAAAAAAATTGGTGGGTTTGGATTCGGATCAGCATTATTTATTTGTTTATTTATTTTTAAATTGAATGTCTAAATCTAGGGAATCACCATGTTCAATTGGGATAGTAATCCCATTATTTAATGTTAATGTTAATGTTATCATACACTAGAGCCACACCAAATCACAGAAATATCCACCAATCCCATTTTGATTTATGGGTGGAAAATTGGTGGGTTTGGCGTTTTCCACCCATAAATCACAATACCGGCCCGAAAGTAAACCCCCCCTTCTCTCTCTAAAATGTGGATTGGATTATCATATTATATAACGCTCTTTGCAACCGATTAAGTTTTTTGGGTTTGTAACGGAGGATTCAGATCTTGCTGCTGAAAAGAAATCAAGCGATCCAACTGACAGAGGTTTTAAAAAATAAAAATAGAACATTTCTCATTACTCTCATACTGTTTCCAAAGGCCCAATTTACTCTTTGCTCATATCAAATTTTGTACCTTCTTTTAATCTTATTAGTTATGTCATGAATTGTAAACTCTTCTTAATTCCTCAATTTCACGTATACAATCTCATCCCTCAGAGAGAGAGAGAGAGAGAGAGAATTTTTCAATGCTATCCATGAATTTTTAAATTAAGCTTTTGTGCCTAGGGTTTTAAAAGTTACAAAAACATGTTGTAGATTGAAATTGATGTGATAACTAATCAGTAGATATTGGAACTTGCAAGTATATATATTTGGTTTCTATTTTTCAATTTCCTTTTGTCGTTGTTGTATTCGGCCGAACTCGCACTCGCACTCACAAGGTAATTTCAGTATTCTCTCCTCTCCTCTTTCAAACTCGGCTGTTGTATGGCTGACGGCTATTTTTGTTTTTGGCTGGGTTTGTTTGTCGTGTATTACTTTGGACATAACAAGCATCTTTTATGGTTGTTTAAATTCGACTCAACCAAGAGATCATCAGTTACACTTTGGGAGAATCGATGGTCGTCACAAATCTAAGAAGTGCGACTCTGCCATTTGGCATTGCATTACACTACTCTGCCTTTTCCCAATTTAGCCTCTCAGGTTTGTTTTATTTAATCTACTATATTGTGCCTTCTTTTATTTATTTTGAATCCTTTAATGGCTTACTCTCTGTTTTACCTGTTTTGTACATTTAATTAAGATGTGAATTGTTTTGTTAATGTAATGTAAATAGAAATGAGGGTTTCTTAAGTCAGAGATTGTCATTTCTTTTTGGTAATGAGGGTATACTGAGTGACCCCAAGGGGGCCAAATGCTTCATGTGTTATGTTTTGTTGATATCAAAATGTAATTATAGATAGAGAAAGAAGGTGAGAGAGTTTGTCAATGGATCACAATGTTTTATTGATTTTGCAATGAAATGATAGAAGAGATGAGTTTTTTAAAGGAGAGTTTTCTTTTTCAATGACTTACTGTTTGATTGATTTTGAAGGGTATACATTAGGAAATGACAGTTTCAAAATATGTGTTTTCTTTTGTTGATATCAAAATAAATTATAGATAGAGAAAGAAGGTGAGAGAGAGTTTGTCAATGGATCACAATGTTTTATTGAGTTTGTCATTGTTAACTTAGTTTTAGTTGCCAAATCCTTGGACACATTATTTGGAGTTTGGATTTACAGAAAAACAAGAAGCATGAAGGGAGAAGTGGAGATGAAAATGGGAACATGGTGGATACATCTATTTTGGATTGTAAGAATTGGTTTCTCCTTGTTGAGATGGAAATTGTCATTACTCAGTTTCATTTTGCATGTTCTGATTTAAATTTCTTAAGCAAAATAAGTTTTGAATTTTGGATTTGATTGTTTTAGCTATGAGCACCTTATTACAAACTGTCATAGGCTGCTTCTTTTTCTTCTTCTTCTTTTTTTTTTCTTTTTTCTTATTTTTTTTTAGAAAAAGAAACAGCATGCTCTATTGGTTTTGGTTAACACTCGCTTCTTCTCTCATTCTTTCACACATAAAGCCTATTGGGTTTTTGTCACTTTTTTTTTGTTTTTTTGTTTTTTTTAAACCAGCGTTCTGTTTTTGGTTTGGTTAGCCCTCTCTTTTTCTCATTATTTCACACATGAAGTCTATTGGGTTTTTGTCACTACATGCACAATTGGATGCTGATTTTTAATCAATACATATGCTGATTTTTAATGGGTAAATTGTATGGATATTTGATAGCCTGAAGAGTGGTGGTTTTTCTGGGACATATTATTGCTAGGACTAATAAGAAGACTTGGGAGTAGTTGTATTTTACATTGAGGTTGGTCTAAGAATTTTGTTTTGTCAGAATTATATTTCTTGGGCTACGTTTTATTGGATTGAATTGTTCTTTTATGTAACAGTTACCTTAAAGTTACACTCTATCTATAAGGCATTGGTTTAAGTTTGGATTAGAACATATTTGGGAATGGCTTTAGTCACAAGTAAATTATCTATTGGATGGCTCTGGAAGCCTTTTACTTTGGCCATTTTTTAGGAAACAATTTCAATTTCTTTGTTAATATTTTTCCATTTAAAGTATATATGGGAGTGCCTTTCTCCCTTTAATAATTAGTTTTCCTAAATTCCAGTTTGTTTCTTTTCGCCATTTTCATGTTGTGTTGTGTCTTTTTGTTGTAGGTCATCAATTTATAGGTTTTCGATATAATCGAAGGTATAAACTCTAAGTGATTTTTTTGTTTTTTATTATATCTGTTTCATTACTCAAAATTGTAGAAAATTTATTGTTTTGGGGTCTATTACGTATTGGGTCTTTTGTTGGATCTTTTGGTATTTTGTGCTCTTTTTTTTTCCCTCCTCCCCTCTCCTCCTCTTCTCTCCTTAATCTTTCTTTCTTTTGAATTTATTTGGGTTTTTGGTTTATATCCATTTTATTTACAAAGAAACTATAAATTGCAAACATTTTTTTCCCTTCCCCGTCTCTATCACATTTGTTTTAATCCCCATTAGAATAAAAGCTAACAAAATCATAATGTATTGCTTTTTTTGTCCCATTGTTCTTCGTACATGTGAACTCATTTTTTTCAAAATATGATTCAATTGGTAAGAGAAAATATGTGTGCTTATTTTTTATCAAGTGCGTTAGAGAAGATATTAAAAGTAGATGAGGAAAAAAGGTGAAGAACGTGGGAGCAGGTACCACAAGAATTAGCATATTTTTTAGCAGTTAGAAAGTTCATTGGTTACTATGTGATGTGATTTGGAAATAGCCAAACATTATTTTTTTTTTATTTCAAAATGACTTTAATCCATCTGACTTATTCTTTTCGAATCCTTTTAATTTGGCTATTTTTTAGGGATTTTTTTTTTATAGAGTAAATTTCACCATTTAAGCGGTCTTTATATCACTACAAGAATTAACACTTTTGGCAACAAAAAAATTGGTCGCTAAAAGTCTATTTTTAGTTGGCAAAAGTTATCCGCGACCAATTTTTTTGGTCGCTAGTTTGGTCGCCAATTGAGGGTCAGCAAAAGTAATTCGCGACCAAAATTTTGGTTGGTCGGGAAAAGTTGGATTTGCCGACTAAATTTTTGGTCGCTAAATATTTATTTACTGTTACTAATCCATTGTCACTAAAACACTTTGGTTGCGAAAAGTCGCCTTTTGCCGACCAAGTATCTTAGTCGCCAATTGTCACATTCCACGACCAAGAAATTTGGTCGCCAATTATCACATTCAACGACCAGAATTTTTTGTCGCCAATTGTGACATTTCGCGACCAAAAATTTTGGTCGCCAATTGTCACATTCTGCAACCAAAATAATTAGTCGCCAATTGTCACATTCCACGACCAAACATGTTTGTCGCCAAAAGAAAATGTTTGTACAACTAAAACTTTAGTCAGCAATAGACCTATTCGCGACCAAAAGGTTTGGTTGCCAAAATTAATAATTTTGATGACTAATTATTTAGTCGCCAAATGTGCTTGGTGACACACTGACTACTTTATTTAGTCGGCAAAAATATAACTTATCTTTCCCGACTAATCAATTGGTCGCCAAAACTATAAAAACAAAACCAAATTTTGGTCGCCAACATCCAACAAAAATAAACCTGTAATTTATAATAATCCATCCAATTTATTCAATATAATCTGTAATTTGCAAAAATCATTCAAACCAACAAATAAATTGAATTATCAACATTCAACAAAATACATATAACAACCATTTCTGAACCTGTTTAATTAAAGTCAGCAACTATTATCAGTTTACATCCACAAATAATTCCAAACTACATATTTCGTCTAGCATAAAAATTTAAAACATAACACGTACTTGTTATTATGTTTTAAAATTTTATCCATGTACATCAACCCAAAAATATAACTACTAGTCTACCAAATATTTTCTATACAAACCCATCCAAAAATATAACTAGTAGTGTATCCAAAAATATAACTACTAGTCTACCCTAATATTTTCCATATACATCTATACAAAAATATATAATCCTTCAAAAAATGCAAAAAGTGCCAATTTGTCCTGTACAATTTAGCTTTGTGCACGAGTTCATCCATCTGTACCAAAGAAAAAGAGAAATAATGTCAGTTAAAATTGGACAAATAATGAAAAATGTCCAATGAAAGCAAAGGTCACATTAGCAAATTAAATGACTATCATTATCAAATTGTAAATAAAACAATAGCATTCTTATGTGTATAGAATAAATTGGATCAGCCACCATTCCAGATCCAATATAGTGCCACACAGCAGAAACCAACATGGCAACTGAAATTGATCCATATTGTCAATAACTCGTATCTTCCTCAATGAACCTTTCATGTGAATTAAATTTCAATCCAGAACTAACCACAATCAGTACCCCAGCTGTGTGTGCTGCTGTGTGATAAAACAGCTTTTCAGAAGCCTTCTAATGAAACCAGTATTGCCAAGGCTTCTGAAGGCTCCTAATATATCATGTTGTGATGAAACGAGTGTTACACTGCTGCCACAATGTTACACAAACATAATTTTGACCACCAAAGGAAAAGAAAGAAGAAAAAAGAAATATCTATATTTTTTTAATCTATATATCTAGATTGATATATAATGAATGAATGGATGATGAACATGTTTCATTACATGGCAATATCGGTTCAGAGGCAAAAGGAGATGCCCATGACTGAATATCGGATAAGGGGTGTGGCACTTGACTGCCGAGAATATAATTCGATTGACTAACCCAACCAATTCACTCCTCAAAGGAGAGGTAGGCAGTCTACTTTTAAAACAGAACTTTTTATACTTGGAAAAAAGTTAAGTTTGTGACTATTGGGTAGTTTTATTTCTAATCGTTTTTATTTAGAGGTAAGTATTAGAAAAAGCAAACACTAATATATGATATTATATTTATCATGCATGTATTGTTCAGTGATATAAAAAAATGTTCAAAACAAAAAATAATTTATAGCAGCTCTCTAATAAATTTTATATATCGATGATTTATATAAATACAAACTATTATTTGGTGTTGATAGTCACCACCATATATAGTTGACTATTAATTTGTATTCTCTCTTCTGTAATGATGCCATTTGACATCACCACCTGAAGATCATATTCCATCATTCAACAGAATGTATGGTGTTCTCAGTACTATATTATCTTTAATAAGGCCCACAAACCATGATGATGATTTGTAATGTATTTCTGGGAGAGTTTCTAATGTGTAGCATTAGAAATTTAGAAATTTCACAATATTTAAAAATCAAGACAGATCAATAGAGGATCTTTCTGAAGCCAGACAGATCGCAGACCACCATATTGACAAATAATCCCTGCACAAGAAATAACAACCATATTAAAAACAAAAATGATCAAATATGATCCCCAAGCTAAGCATGTGAAAAACAAATAGCATGAATAGTTATGTACCATATCAGGACTCCTCCCACAAGCACAACAAACGGGTAAAGCTGACAAGAAACAGTGACAATACATCTATTTAGAAACTTGAGAAATGATAGACAAAGCATTCAATATTAATGCTTATGTTTTTCATTTGGTGGAGGTCAATTGGGTCATTCCGTCCTCTTGTGAGCTTATGTTTTGTATTGATTTTAGAGGAGGATTTGGATCAAACAGAAGGGCTTGGGTTCTATGAACATGTGTGGCTTGGGCAGTCTTTGGGGTATTATGCTTGAAAGGAATGATAAAGTTTTTTAGGAGAATGTAGAAGATTAGGATAGAATTTGGGAGCAGTTGTGTTTTTAAGGCTCTTTAAAGAGATTCCACATTTTTTAATTTCTAGGATTTGGAATGGTATTTGTAGAGCATGAGATCCTTTGTTTTTGGTTTTTTGGTTTGTTTTTCTTACTTTTCTTCCCTTTTTGATTTTGGTGGACTTCTTGTCCTCCTTCGTATTTCAATTTTTTAATGATTATCGGATTTTCTTTATTGCCTTAAAAAGCTTCAATAGTAACAGGTTTACCATTGCCAACGCCAGTAGCATGCTTCCTTTCCATGCTTGAACAACCTTACAAACATTGTACATGCTGCACAAACGCAGAACACCATATAAAGTAAAATCAAGCTGATGATCACCCAGAAGCAGTTAAGAAGTCATGAATGTGAGCTTTGGCATGATCAAAAAAATGTCATAAAACTCAAGACCAAAATAATCCTGCTCATATGAAGCCTGTCATGTGTAATAGGATATGCTATTTAGAAAAGAAAAAATAAAAAAGAAAATATATATATAGTGTGTAAGATATAATCTTTGATGTAATTATGTGCAACCAATTAGCTAAATATTTCAAGAACAGCTGAGTAATATGGACATGTATTCAGCCCACATCCAACAAACACAAGAAGAATAGCATCCTTGATGGTAATGACGCCAAGGATGCTACAATGTGATTATAATTCATACCAACAATTTCAAATCAGCAACTCAAACCCTATTCTACAACGTCAATCTATGACTTTGGGAATGTACAGCCCATTCACATGTAACATGGAACAGTACTCTACTAAAGACTACACGGTGACATCAAGAAAGTCAAAAGCTTTTTTTTTTTTTCTCAGGGCATCAAAGTAAATCGCAACAGATACAAACAAATAAAGTAAGTAATTTTTTTTGGCATTAAGAATATGAAGAACTACTCACTTGAATAAGCTCGTTGGTATAATAGCAAAAACTATTATTGCAAACAGCGTAACCTTGTTTGTTGGGATTTCTACAGTCAAAAAATAGATGGATAAATGACGACATGAAAAAAAATAAATTAAATTAAAGCAACTCACGTTTCTATAAATATGCTATAAAAATGAAAACAAAGTAAACAACAAAAAAGTTCATTAAAAAAAGTTCCCAAGGAAATTAAAAAAATGCACTCAGACAAGAAAAATGAATAAGAATTATGAGTCACCATTCAAGGAGAGATTGAGACTAAAAAAATCTTTAAAACATAAAAAGCAATGGATAGATATCAAGACAAATTAGGTAATTAATATTTTTTTTCCTTCCTCGGGGACGATAGCCTCACCAATAGCTTCCAATCAAAATGAACAGAGAAGATACTTGGTCCAACCCTTTCTCTTAACAATAGTAGTCAAACTAAAAACCGAAGTTCTGCCAAGAAGTAAAACAATGGCACCTCAAGGAATGTATGTGATACAGACGACACAAATTTCAGAATCCATCCTAGGCTCCTAGCCAGCTGAGAATGTATGCAGAAGGTTTATAAATCCTAAATTCAACAAAGAGCACCACCATGTCAGCCAATCTAAGACTCGTTACTTCAACAAAGTAGAAGTTGTCAGATCATATGATCTTTTCTCATTTTGCAGAGAATTTGCTAATAGCTTCCACAGGAACGCATAACCATACAAGTTACGAAAACATAACACTCATATACAAGTTCAAAAACACTGTCGCATTATAACATTTGTAGTATGTTTCAGAAGCAAGTAAAACAGACCAGCATTACCAGAAAATGTTAATACCCCATACATTTTGGAACACACATTCCGAAACATGGTTCCACTTTCATTCCAAATAAGTAAATTAATCGATCCAAAAATATTTTCCTAGTTATTTCCTTGAGCAAAATGAAATCAAATACGGTGAAAGAAAATCTAGAGAGGGGAGTTTTGGAAAGACAAAATGCAAGAGGCCATAATGCTCCTAGCTAGAAGCTTGTTTTTACATGATTAGTTTGCAAAATAATATAATATGTTCCATTAGATATCCACTTGTTAACAAAAAATTACTCCCATGTCTGTAAGTGCCTCAACAAATTTTAATATCGTGATTTATAGGAGGAGCCTATCTTTAACGTATCACAGTTTAGAGCATGTAACAAACTATGTCCCGGTTTCCGTTTCTTGTCCTGGAATGATTCACATTCCAAGTAACTTTGGGACAAAACATATTTTAAGAGTAGAGTACACACATACAAAGTCAAAGATGATACTTCATTCTATATAATGCCCACCTAAAAATATATCACACAGAACTGCTAAGGTAAATTTTAGTTGGCTAGGTAAGAGCAATAAACACAGGATCAACAACATAGGCGCAAAAGAATTTGCTACAAGTTATTTGTGTCATACAAATCTGTTTCTACATATACATAGGTCATACCATTTATCAACGGAACCCAGCTCAGAAATGGCGGAGACTTTCCAAAAGGTTGAGCCCACCAATCAGCACCTGAAAAAGAATGGAATAATATTATTACAGTATAATACCGCCTAAAAAAAATAAAAAAAAAAATCAATGAATATGAGTTGCCAGAGCTCGCCAGAAGGTTGCCGCCAGATAACCGATGATAGCCACGATGGCCAGTGGTGAGGTGGTGGGGTAGTGAGAGAGTGAACACTTGCTTTAAAGACAAGTGACTTCTTTTCATTTCCAAAAATTTTGGAATCAATTCCATTGTTTTTAAAAACAAAATCAATATACCAAATAAGTTTCTTTTTCCAGTTTCCAAAAAAATGAAAACATTACCAAACGAGGCCTTAGGATTTATTAATTGGTTAACATATCAATATCTATAATGAATGCCTGAAGTATGTAAAAGGGCCTTAAATATGGTAAAGGGCCATACCAACTATAGCGGTAAAGAAATGGCACAAATATATCAGCATCAGACCCTCCGTAGGCCCATTGATAACGGGCATAATAAGGGTATTGGTGAAATAACTACACAATGAAAGAGATATTGATAAAGTTGCTAACCAAACTCCAAATTATTAGTATAATCCGAAAAACCAATGGCAAAACAGAAATATAACTTCACATTGAAAACATGTAGAGATTATGATTTAAATAAATTAATAAATCTTATAAAAATAAACTGCATCAAAAGCATCAGTGCCACAAAGCAAATTTTTAACCATTAAATATTAAAACATTTTAAATGGCTCCCATTCAAGGAATTCAAATCTAAATGTTGTGCCAAATCAAGTATAGCCCCTTCATGGCCTTAATCATGTTGCAAGCAAGTTAATTATATAAAGTCCATCTCCCTATGAAATTCCTTTAGAAATGGAAATGGCATAGCAAAACAACTTTATTGGCCCACAATGAAAGTGGAAATATTATGATAACTGGAGCATCCACCATCCAAAAAACAAAGAAAAGAACAGAAAAAAGAAGAGGTGTGCAAGAATGAAGAATCAAGTGTTCGTAACAAGGCAGAATGTAATAAACCAGTATTAGTTGGACTGCTTACTGCTCCCATGTTGCCAAATGAAACAGAACAACTGTTATCACCCGGAACCAGAAAGCAGTCCCTCCAGACATAATAATACTCCCAAAGGCCAAGGACGCAAACTGATAAACATCATCAACAAAATATGAAAGAGATACACTTGCTATGGCCAACCAAAGACAATAACAAAAGTACATACCGCACAGGCAAGTGCATCACATCCTGCAGTAGTGTTTTATAACAAGAAAAAATTCAATCAATATTCTACATTATATATAAAAAGAAAAAGCTCCCCCAGTGGACTAGAGGAACTCGTCCGTCCTGCTTGCTTCCCATCAACAGCATCAAAAGTCTGGCAGTGGTTTGAAGGTCAAAACAGAAATTTCTGAAAGGGAGTAAACTCCCCATCCAAAGACCAACTAATGGAAAGAAAATCCAACACAACAGTCACAGAAAAGAAGTAAATAATGTTTCTTTTCTCTTTCCCAAAACCAAAAGGTAAAAATGAAGTATGTCTCTATGGGAAACAGTTTGTCATATATAGAAAGATCACAAAAACATTTTCATTCTATTGGTTTTTCCAATGTAGCTGAGCAAATGAGGTTTAAAAGCAACATATATCTAACTAATTCTAGAATAGAATTGTATATGCAAATCAAGCAGCCATAGTACAGGTAAAATGTGAAAGCATATATATATACACGTTTATCTACACACATAGGCAAAGAGTTGTCTAATCATATCAAATTTAAAATTTTCAAATCTATTTAGAAATCAGAATCTGAAATAGCGCGAAGCAGGTCAGGGCTAATAAAATAGATGAAGAAGAGCAGGGCCCGATTGGCATTTAGCAAAACTTCTAAATATTCCCATAGTCTGTGACCAACGCACAATATTTCACCTGAATGTTGCCTCTAGCACGTGTAACTCACTAAGCATGAGATGTTGGAGAAGCAAAGGATGTTACTTCCTTTCATATAAGGCCCAGCCCTCCATTTTCTGTCCCTGGTGCGGTGTGGGATAAAAAATTGCAGAAATATGTTTACCACATTACAAAATGAAAACTCTATACCCAAGCTGAAGCCATTTACCACATCTAAGTTTGTCCTATGACTGAAATCACTAGTCCCACATCACAAAACTAATAAAACTAAGAGCCATATATAAGTTTCATTTACAAAAAAGTAGCCCTAAGCAGCAGATTGCATGGCTTCAATGACTGCAGATCAAACTTTTGATGTCTGGTGAAATTACCCTGAAATTTGGTCAACTTGCCGGGAATTTTTTACAATCATTTGCTGGGAATAAGTTTCTCCAGCAACTACAATCATTTGCTGCACATTGCAAAAGTATTTACATAGAGCCATTCAGTTTATTAAAAACCATTAAAGTCTAGCAGGTTACCAGTAGATAGGTTCAAATTTCATTTTTATATATAGGCACCGAAACAATATCAGCGAGAGAGAGGACAACCTTTTTCATATTATTGAAAAGATACTTAGATCCATGCATCAAAAACATAAAAATAAAAATAAAATAACATAAATTTTGTTTAAACTCCATTGTATAAAAGTAAATCACATAACGTTCATGCCTTATGCTATTGAATTGCTACTTTCTACTAAAGACAATAAGAATGGTATTTTCCTTCCTAAGTTAAAACCTTCAAGGATACTTAGCACATTACAATTAATCGTGTAGAACTGTACAATTTCTGTCTGCACCAAGTACAAATGACAGCAAAAGACGAAAGAGCAATCATTATAGGTGTCATACCATCACATTGAGGAGAAGGAAATTTTTTTAAAAAGAAAAAAGGGCACAAGGAAATAAATGAGATAACACTAATGAAACCCAAAAGATATAATTCATCAAGCCATCCAAGACAAGCAAGTATGAACATAAACTGCAAGCACATAGCAGGACAGAAGCATATGATAACACTGCTTGTGGGAAATTTAAGTAGACTTGATATAAGAAGAGAAGCAACCCATGTGCAAGAAAGACCCATCTAGGAGGAATTGAATCCAGACGAGGTGAATATATCTGCAACACTTACATGTGAAAATATATCTTAAAGTAACAACTAAATAATTACCATAAAATAAATAAATAAAAAGAAACAAGATCCATTCATTTTACTATAACAATGCAGAACACTAATATTACACACCCAAAATTTATATCCAGAATTTTACCCAAAAACATTAAAATCCAAATTCATTCCATGCATGGACCCTACAATACACCAACTAAATCTCAAACACAATTTTCCTTTCTGGGGAGATTTCTTGACAAAAAATTTGGGTGAGTAGATTTCTCAAATGTAAAATAAGGAGAAAACCAAATTCATATAGAATGATATGATAATGAGCCTCCTAAAAGGAACTAGTAAATTCATTGAATTGTACCAAAAATAAAAAGGTCATTTAATTCAATGGAATTTCTTGGTTGTTCTCTGTAAAATACTCCTCCCAATATGATCCATAGTGATGATTTTTTGATTTCCAATAAATAGGTGTAAATAAGATATATTATTTTTTATATATAAATTATATTTATAACATATCTCTTTTTTGATACAATGAAGGAAAATAAGAGGTCCAAGTCATAACTTCTAATGAAAAAGAACAAACGAAAGCAAGAAACAATACCCAAATAAAAAATTAGCTGAATTCAAACTATCTGAACAAAGAAATCATACAAAAATACATAGAAATGACAAAGGACTCAACCTGAAAAACAAACAATACTTGGAAAACAGAACATACACCCAAAATCTAAGAATGACCCCCTTGGTTGCTGAGAAAACGTGTGTAATCAAAGAAACAGAGTTTGAATCTTAAATCTTTGGTCTAAGAGAATCTATTTTCTCTTCAATTTCTAAATTTATCAGCAATGAAGGATATAGGAAGTTATGAAATATACATAAAGAAAGAGAAATACAAAATAAATAAATAAAAAGAAATCCAGACAATCCAGCGCAGTGGTAGGGAACGAAGATTCAACCAGACACTAAAGATTCAAACTTTATTTTCTCAGTTTTCCTCAGTTCACTCAAAAGCTTAAAAAGCAACGAAAAATACATTATCAGATTTAAAATCTAAACTCTCTGCTTTTATTTTCCTAAATTTTCTCAGCAACCAAACAGACATATGCCAAAATACACATAAACAAAGCTCACCTGCACTTAGCAGCAACGGCGGCCAATCCAAATAATGGAAATCAAAGAGAAAACGTGAGACACAGATATATAAACAGATATTTCCTATTATAAGTTGAAAAAAATACGTAGATGAATCATAAATGGAGAAGACAAAACAGAAATGGCGAAGACGGACGGAGGCGCAGATGGTGGAGAGGCGACGACGGCGGACGGCAAGGTCGATGGTAAGGTGAGGTGATTGGCGCAACTGAGCTTTGATCGAATTCGACTGAGGTGTGTGAAAGAGGCGCGTATTTCTGATTTAGATGTGTTTGAATTAGTAAATTATCCCCTACCAACCTGTTGGTCGGCTAATGGCTGTGTGCGAATTTAGATACCAAAACGACGTCGTTTTTTTATCAGCGACCAAATTATATTAGTCGCTGAAAGATCATACAGCAGTCGCCCAGATTTTATTATCCCGCCCAGATTTTTGGCGACAAAAATGTAATTTGGTCGCAACAAATTACTTATTTGCAACCAAAAAAATTTGGTCGGTAATATTAAAAATTTTCAGCTACGATATTTTAATTTGGTAGGCAAATGTCAATTTTTTGCGACCAGAATTTTTTTGGTCGGCAAAAGTGGTCGCCAAATGTGTAAATTCTTGTAGTGTATGGGGTGCTTTGTGGTTAAAAAAAATATAGCAGTGCATTTTTTTTTCTCTATTTTTCTCACTATATTTCAGGTTTATAATTTGCAAAGAACTGTTAAAATGTGATTCATAGTAGTAGCACTTGGAGGTGTACATTGTTTGGTGAGATTGTAGAGCACTAACTAATGCGCATTTTAATTTTAATTTTTTTGAATTGCAGAGTATTGGTTAGTGTCCATTTTAATTTTAATATTTTTATATTGCAGAATATTGGTTGGTGTGCATTGTTTGGTGTTTAATTTTAATTTTTGTGGGATTGCAAAACACTTGCTTGTGTGCTTTATCTGGTGTTTAATAATTTTTTTTTTTTTTTTTGGGATCATAAAGCGTTAACATGTGTACAATAGCTTTGGTTTGTGTGCTCTGTTTAGCAGGCAATTTACACTTCAGTGTTGATGTGAAGCTTACACTTTGGTTTTTGTCTATAATAAAATTAAAATATATTCTAAAGTTTTATTGGGCATGCCTTCAGGCACAGGCTATCAATAAAGTTTTATATTCTTAAGTTTTATTGGGTGTGTTTACAATAAAGTTTTATTTTTTTCACTTTTCTCTATCCTCACTTAATAAGTAGCATGTTATCAATCACTTACAAAGCATACAGACTAACTAATCCCTTTTTTTTTTCTTTTTTTTAGTAGGCAGGTCAATTAATTGGTTTGAGGCAAAGGTGGTGTTGGGTATGAGGTGAGGAAAAGCCGTGAATTTCATGTAATGAATTTTTGAAATGGTTTAGATTTTAGAAACCTATCTTCATGTAATGATTTTTTAAAATGAGTTAGATTTAAATGTGTTTCTAAATGGTTTTGATTTCAAAAATATGAAAATGATAAATGAACCAACGCAATTATTATAATGGGTTTCTAAATGAGTTTCTAAAATCAATTTTCATGTACTGATTTTCGAAAACCTATCTTTATTGTGTTTAATTTAGATCCCCTATGTAACTATTCTATTTATATCATTTGGAGTATTAATTATGTTTTTCTCATTCTCTTTCTAACTGTTCCGTTTCATTCAATTTCATTCTTTCTTTCATTTTTCAATTGTGGTAAGTATCTTTTATAAGTATTTGGTTGTGATCTTTGTTTAAAAAAATAGTACAGTTAATTTTATTTAATGAACCTTAGGTTTAATTTTAGTTAGATTTGTCCATTAACATTGATTTCAAGTTTGATTCTTTTTTTGTTGCCTACTAATTGTTATACATAATGCTTCAACTAGAAAATGAGATATGCATTATTACAGGGATAGAAATTCAAAGGAGCATGATCATCCAAAAAAGGATCTTCACACAAGGTAAGCTTTAATTGTTTTAAAATTTAATTCTGTTTGATTTTACAACTTTCAAAAATTCTTCTTCCTTATAACAAGACTCTTAGTCTTAATAAAATTTGAGTTTAATTATTCGCTCCCCTTACAAAATTTGAGTTTAATTCTATTTGGCGGTTTGTATGATTTATTTGCTTTTCTATTCATTTGTTTACTTTAGTAATGGATACATATGTCTAGTCTTACTTCATCATTGAATGACATAATTCAGTTGACCACAATAGGTATGTTTAATTCTTCTTAATTCATAGTTATTGATTTTTGTATTTCTCATATGTATTTTGATGTGATTTTTCATGTTACAGTTTCTTTTGATGCAATTATTCTTCATTACAATTTCTTCCGAGTTCTCATATGTATTTTGATGCAATTTTTTATAGCTATTGATTTTTTAAAGCGGATTTAAACGAGTGATTTTATTGCAGGTGACTGATCCATATTAGAAACGTTGGGTTATGCTGCTTCTACATGTGTGTTGTTGGTTGGCTCTCTCATTCTAAACAAAATGATTAATTATTTATTTTTATTTCTTATTTTTATTTTATTTTATTTTTTTGGGTTAGCTAGGATGATTGTTTTGTACCAAAATGTTCATTGACCTTTATTTGAAGGCATTGAAATTTGATAAAGCAAAAACGATACTAATTCAATAATGTTTTTTTTATTGAAGGTTATCCCATTCTAACTTGCTATAGTGTATATATGCGTTATTTTGACGTGGATAAAAATCTAAAATTTGCTATTTAGACTTTAAGTTTAGCAAATATTTCTAGATTCCTTGCTTATGTTACATTGAAATATATAATTCATTTTTTGGACTTTAATTTTAAAATTTGTTATTTGAAATTTATAAATGTTTTCGCTAATTCAATGTGTAGAAACAATTTCAATTTCTTATAGGTGAAGTTTTAAATCTGAGTAATATTATCATTATAAATTGATTTATTACTACTAAATTTCGTAACACGTGATATCAAAAAAATTATTGTGAGTGTCTTCCGGCACGAGGAATCTCTAGTTCATAAATAAGCGAGGATTTAAACATAAGCTTACATTTCGTTCAAGCCTACAAAGTTTCAGTGGATTGTGTGAAAATGGATTTTATCCATAAAAAACCAAAAATAAAAATAAAATAAAATAAAATAAAATAAAAACAAAAGAGTCAGTCGCAGGAGCAAACACAAACAAAAAAATGTATCTACCTATCAAGCCTAAACTTGATCATCTCCCAACCTTAGCCTATCAAACGACCGTTACCCTTCGTTAACGTTATCCCTACTACTCTCCGTCCTCTTAAACAGCCTATTTAACGGCGACGTTACGCTCTTCAACAGAGTCCTCGGTGTCGTCGCCGTCGACTCCTCACGCGACCGGATCGAACGGGCCCTAGAAGAAAACGGCGGCGTCACAATAAACCCCCACCGGTCTGGCCGCCTTTCACTCCCACTTCTGTACCCTTTCCTCGAACTCCTCGACCTCGGAAAGGCCACGCAACTCTTCGTCGTCGTCAACCTCGACGAGTTCACCAACCTATTCCGTACCTCCTCCGGTAACCTTAGCGTAAACCTCTCGCAATTCCCTCCCGGTTTCACCACCGAGTGACCCGTTGTGTTCGACCTCCGAAGCTTCTTCCTCGGCGTACTATTCCGATTAATCGGCGTTTGAATTACGTTGACTATCTCCAGAGATTGAATGGTCGGGATCAAATCATCGGAATTCAAGTTTTCACAATCCTGAATCTCTGACTCGGAATCCGAATCTTGACTCGGGAGAGTGAAAGGCCGAGTTTCGCCGGGTTTGGGGACGAGGTTGGCTCGGCTAACGGGACAAGTGATGTGAGAGGACAACCAGGAATCGATACAGTCGGGGTGGAACACGTGGCAGCATTTGGGGAGTAATCGGAGAGTCTCGTCGTCTTCGAACTCGTTTAAGCACACGGCGCATTCTAGCAAGGCGTTGCCGACCTTGAGACCCTTGACCTCGGAGTAGATGAACGTAGGAAACGTTTCGAGTATCTCCGAGTCGAGCCCACGCGCCACTCGGGAGAGCCATCCGGGGCTGAGGGCGAATCGTGCGAGGATGCGGCGCTCGACGTAGTAGCGGATGTAGACGGAGATGCAGCCCATGACAAAGAAGGCGCTGATGAAGCAGACGAGTATGATGGCCATTGTTGGGTTCACTCCGGCATTGCTGTTGACGAAGGGGTAAGGTGGCGGAGGCGATGACTGTGCGGTGGCGCACGGTGGAGAAAGTAGAAGCGTGGAGGTGGGGATGAAGACCCAACTGAGGCCATGATGGAGTGAGAAGAGAGGAAGAAACTCAAGGGTGTCATTTTCTTTCATCAGGTGATGTGAGTAGATAGTGAATGAAGCAAACATTTTTAACGTTGGTTTTCTTACAATTGATTATCTTGGGGTGGTGGGGCCAACTTAGAGTAATATGTTTTTGGACATACGTATGATTGAAATTTGTCACTTCGGCGGCAAAATAGGTGCGGGTCCTCACCGGGCCGGGTTAGTGCCCAAGTTCAATATTACTCTCCTAACGGGTTGGGCCTGTTAGATCTAGGGTTTGTTTGGTTTAGTTTTGAAATTATAATTTGAGTGTAAAGTTATAATTAAAGTGTAAAATTGTAAATTGAGTTTTGAAAAGAGAAAATTTGTTTGATTATGAATTTCGAAAAGTGTTTTGAAAAGAGTCTTTATATTTTGAAAAAGTTTTGAGTTATATTTTAAGTTTTGAACTTTTGAATTTTGAATTTCTTGGATTTATTTTTTTAAAATATTAAAAAATATTTAAGAAAATTTTATTTTTTATTTTAAATATATAATTTTTATTTTTATATTTTTAAATATTTTATTTTATTTTGTAAAATTTTTAATTTTTTAATTTTAAATTCAAAATACAACTCCACACTCAAATTGTAACGAAACACATAACTCAAAATTCAATTCAAAAACTATTTTCAAAATTTATAACTAAATACATAACTTGAAATTCCACACTATTTTCAAAACTTTATACTCAAATCGTAACCAAACACATAATAAAAAAATTAAAATACTTAAAAATATATTTATAAAATAAAATAAAATATTTAAATTAAAAAGAATTTTTTTAATTTTTTTTTAATATTTAAAATATTTTTTAAAAAATACAACACACAAATGTGTGAGATATAGTGCACATTAAAATAAATAAATAAATATTTACCCTAAAAATAAAATTATGAAAAATTTTAAATATTTAAAGAAAAATAAATCCAAAAAAAACTTAAAATACAACTCAAAACTCTTTTCAAAACTCATAACCAAATAAATTTTTTTCTTCAAAACTCAACTCGTAACTTAAAACACGACTTCACACTTATATTATGATTCTAAAAATAGTTTTAAAAAATAAAATAAAAAATAATTGTTTTGATTTTTTTTTAAATTGAATTTGAAAATAGTTTAATTTTCAATTTTAAAAAGAGTTTTGAATTGTATATTTGTATATAAATTTTAAAAGTACTTTTTAAATTGAGTTTTAAATAATTTTAAATTATATATTTAATTATAAATTTAAAAATTTTTTGATTGAAAACTAATTTCATAAGAGAACCAACGTAGGCTTAAATGCAAGTCTTCCCAATAGGTTTGACCAAGACCAGGGGTTAAGAATTTATTTATTTTTATTTATTTATTTATTTTATTTTTTATTTTTTTCTTAAGCTTATCTTTTTAGTATTTTTTATGTGGCCAATTTGGTTTGATGCTTCCCATAGGCCAACGATATAGACTTGGTTACAACATTTAGGGGACCATTGCCGGAACAAAGGCTCTTATGGCAAGCCCAACTTCATCAGACTACAGTCCTGTTTGGTAGAATTGTAGAAAAGTACTTATAACTTATGACTAAACAGTTTATAACTTATAACTATGTACATAAGTTGATTTCTGACTTATAAATTAAGCATCTCCTGCCCTACTCAAAGAATAAGTTGATTTCTGACTTCCAAAAAGTTATAAGCTATAAGCTAAACCAAACACATTAAAATAACTTAAATTAAACTGAAAGCTGAAATAAGCTGCTTTTAAGTTCTGCCAAACAGACACTACGAGTTTGATTCAAGTAAAAGATTATCAAGCCACGCGCTTTTGGGTAAAATGATGATTCTTAATTGCCGTGATGGTTTGTGGCCGTTTATAAACTCAAAAATTTTATTCATAATTTTCTTTTTTTTAAAAGATGAGGTCTATTTTAAATTTGGACTGACTTGTTTTCCATCTATAGTGTGCTGTTAGACCTGTGGAACTATCACAGGCTATGTTTGGATAATTTGAACTATTAATGTGTAAAATTCGTCAAATATTTTATTCGTGTAAATAATTACGTTGATCGGATATCGATAACTACTTGATCGGTTTAAGTTTTTATAACAATTTATTTTGAAAATTATATTTATCACAGATAGAAATTTGATCCAATCAAGTGGCCACTGATATCCGATCAACTTGATATTTTACATAAATGAAGCACTCGACGAGTTATACACATTGAACGGAACGAATTATCGAAACGAGACTCATGGTAGGTTCACACGAACCCAACAACACGTTCCAATCCGATTGCGAACTGAAGAGAAGCCTGACCCTTTAAATTTTACTCTTCTATAATACATTAACACTTACTAATTCCTCATTTGGGAACATGTTTTTTTAGTAATTTTTTGACTAAAATATGATGTAAAAAAAATTAGTTATGTTTATGATGACTTTTTAACTTTTTACGAAAAGATGTGCAAAAAGTAGAAAGAAAAGAGAATTTTTGACTTTTTGATTTTTTTTAGCAACTTTTTAATTTTTTAGCTAAAATAGTCACTTGCCAAACAAGGCCTAAATTTGAATTACACATTACTTTTGGTGAATACTTTTATGAATATTTTTTTTTTGGATTCATTATTGTTATTTTGAGATTGGTAGCTGGTTTTAATGTGTACATGCTTGTAGGGGTGAGCATGGTCCGGATTAGACTGGATTGGGATAAAATCAGGACCAATCCGCTATCTACGGTTCCTAAAAAATTGGAACCAATCCAATCCGTTTAAATCATGGAACCAATCCGAACCAATCCATTTAAATACGGATTGGATCGATTTAGGACCACGGATTCACATAATTAAATAACAAAAAAATATATATAACACTTTAATTTCATAAAAATATAAACATAGCGCTATATTAGTTCCACAATAGCAACATCTATTTCTATAATAGCGACATACTGTGCTAGAATTTAAACAACCATAAGAAAACTGGTTTCACCATAAGTATTTAGACCATTACAAATTAAAACTAAAAACTAACAAACAAAAGTAATAAAAGAAGATATTATACGGTTTTAGGTTTGAGTTTAGATTTTATATAGAATAAGAGAAGATACTATGGGGGAGGATGTATAATAAAAATATAGACTATTTGTATACGGTTCGGATCGATTCCAATCTGGAACCGTGGAGTTCAATCCGGAACCAATCCGTAAACTACGGATTTTTAATTCTTCAATCCAGAACCGAACCGCGGATTCAAAAAATCAATTCAAACCTATCGGATTGGACTGAACTGGATCGGATTACAGATTTTACGGATCACTTGCTCAGCCCTATATGCTTGGTTATGTATCATGACAATTAGTATAGGATGGGTTTACGGTGGTCATTGGAACCACGACCAAATTGGGTGGATAGATCAAATTATGAGTCCTCCCTGTATGACCTGAAAACAAACTCATAAGAATTTACTAACGTTATGTTTGGTCGAAAGATTTGAAGAGGGATTTAGAAAAGGAAAAGGAAAAGTTTGGTGAAATGTGAATAAAATAGACCTATATTTCACATAATTTCATACACTTTTTTCCTTTTCTTCTCCAAATCCCTCTCCAAATCCCTCAATCAAATACAACATAAAGGGTGTCTTTTTCAAATGCCCTCACACAGGCAAGTTAATTCTCTAGAAAATAGAACTTTTAAGGAAGAAATACAGGAGTTGAGTGACAGGGGGGACAAGCATGAGACATGGCACGTCTTTTGTGTGATTGCGCTACCTAGTATGGAAGGTGACAGAGGTTAGCCGCGTGGCTTTTTTTTGGGTCCACTCTGAGTGACTTTGGTTGTGGTTGTTTGGCTTGATTATTTGATCTGTTCAGCTAGCCGAGGGGGTCGGCGAGTTTGAGTCGGTGAACTTGAGTTGGGCCTTGACTGAACTGAGCAGTTACGTTAGTCCATACGTGTCTATACCCATCAAAATACAATTAGGGTCTCTTTGTTTTCAGAGCTACAATAGAAGAGATTGATAATAAAGAGATTAATAGCATAGTTTTAAATTGCGGTATCGGATAACGTAATGGTATCGATCGCGGAGTATCGGTCAGTACGTATCAAAAATCGGGTGTTGCGACGGTAAAATTTTAAAAATCATTTCACAGGTTTTTCAACTTTTTCTTTCCCATATAGATCCGAACCAGTGAGTATCGGCCTATCGCGGCTTGTGTAACTATTACAGACTGCTACGTATCGGAACTCAGCCGATTCTCCTGCGATTTTCGATCTCAACGCTATATTGGTCTATATCAGTCGCGGTGCTCCATTTTTTTGATACGAACCGACCGGTATGTAGCGTATCGGCCGGTTTTTAGAACTATGATGGGATTGATAGTGAAATTATTAGTAAAAGTGTATTTATTTTGATGATAGTTGTTAGTGTTGGAATTATTAAATTAAATAAATATAAAATAATAAAACAAATTAAATTATGATTTTTATTTAACCCAAAAAAAAAAACAAAAACAAAAACAAAAACAAAAACCTCAAACATTAATGTTGAAAAAAATGCCCAACATGTATAAAAAATAAAAAATAAAAAAAATTACAATTGGACAGTTGACTGGCCAGACGTCCAGCCGGAAGTCCCGGTGAACGACTAGTAACACTCTAAACCGGACGAACTATTTTCTAATACCATCTCCTAACTCAGACTGCTAATACCCTCGCTCAAGGCTTTTAATAGTCCGAAGGGACTACCAATCCGAAGTCCCATAAACCAAATAAACATGATTTATGTCCACTGTTTATCATTTGGAGTCCAAGGTGGACTCTTACAATGGAAAACAAACAAGTCTTAAGTATATCACCTTTGACTTCTTTAATTATAATAATAGAATAAAAATATCTTGGTCAGATGACGCAAAAATGATAAAATGTTATTTATTAATTGAGAATTTCAAAATGTGAGAACGTTTAATTAAGCATAGATTAATAAAATTCAGTGATAATTAAGAAGGTTTCTATGTAATTATTATTTATTTTTAATTAGGTTTGCCACAGTGTGATTGTGGAGGCTAAAGAAAAACTTGGTGTAGCATTGGGGATGTCGTCTAGGACTTTTTCACATGTTCGTGGGTACGTTGGCGGGACACGGTTTCTGCGATTGAATCGAGAGGAAAACATAGATGATTAGTTTGTCATAAATGAATTTTTTTTAATTATTATGGATTCATCCAAACTTTCTTAAACACATTCCACTCCTTTTAAAAAAACACACTCAAAAAACAAAACGTCAAACGAAGACTTGACTAAAATTCTTTTAATTATTAATGAACTAGCCTGAAA